AGAGCCCGACATGGGGCTCGATCCCAGGATCCTGAGATCATGACCCGAGCCGAAGGCAGAGGCTTTAACCCACTGAGCCACCCAGGCGCCCCTTGAAGTCACTTTCTGACTTACAGGCAATTTCCATTTTAAAGGCTCTGTATTTGCTGAGAAAATATTCTTTGACTAACAAAAGAAGGTGAAAGGAAATTAGGTGACTGTTTTGTCTTATTTCTCTCAGATTTCTTCCAATTAATGGTTCATCTTCACCTGTCCAAAAGCTAATCATTTAAGGCTCAACTCAGTTCACTCTTTCCTGTTATCTACCCTGCTCACTGTAGACACATTGAGCTCTCTCTTCTGATTTCCTTAAATGATTCTGTGTATTTGGTTTGGTTGGTTGTTACTTAAAAGCTCTTTAAGCTTTTAAAATGTGGACTCATTGCATAAATCTCTCCCATCCTAAGGGCAGAAATACCCACCTTGGACTCTGGTCTTCTTTTCCAGCTACCTCTTTTAACACTCTCCTCTCCTTTCTTGAGTTTCCTATACCTGCATTTTCCATTTTCTCATCTTCTACTCACTTTCTCTTTCTCACCAACCATGGCCTCTCTTGCCAAGATCATCCATGACCTCTTTGTTGAAAATCCAATGGATACTTTTCTGTCTTATTTGATCTCCCGATGGCATTTGAATCTGTGGACCACTCCCTTTCCCTTGACACTTTGCCCTTGGTGGATTCTCATTTTCAGCTCATTTTCAGAACCCTCTTCATCTTTGTGTTCTCTTTATGTGCTCTTCTTGGGGTCCTGGCCCAGCACCGTCAGCCTAAGTGACTCTCTTAGAACATTTTATTTTATTTTATTTTATTTTATTTATTTCAGAGATGGAGAGAATACAAGCTGGGGGTGGGGGCAGAGGGAGAGGGAGAAGCAGACTCCCTGCTGAGCAGGGAGCTGATATGTGGCTCGATCCCTGTACCCTAGGATCATGACCTGAGCCAAAGCAGGTGGTTAACCAACTGAACCACTCAGGTGCCCCTCTTTGGACACTTTTAATATAGGTTGTCCCTTCAATTTCCTCTGTGGTCCTTAAAGCCTTTGAGTTATACCAAACTTACATTCTAAAGCAAACTTCCATAATCTTTCCCCACTCTGAAATAATAAGCATATGCAAAATAAGCTTAAACATTTGAAAACATTTTAGGAGATTCAGAGATTCTCTGTTAACCATAAGGATCCATAGAACCACTCCTTCCATTATTACCAGGTGAAGATATTCTGATCGACATGTTGCTAAATCCTGTTACCTACATTTCCATCATGGAGCTCTCTCCTGGGCATGTCAAACTCAGCAGATGGCAAACTGAATTCTGGGGCTTCCCTCTCCTATTCCTCCTTCTAGGGTTTCTGTCTTAGTAAATTCATCACCTTTCAGGCAGCTGGTTGAGAATGCCTCCCTCTTTCTTTCCTATCATATCTAACTTGTCATTGCTCCATCTCTCACCAAGTTCTGAGATCCCTCCTCTTTGATAACTCTCAAAAACATACAGTTCTAGCCATTGCCACCATCCTAGTTGAGATCTCCATCATCTTTGACCTGCTTTATTACAATGGCCTCTGAACAGAGCTTACTCCTTAGCCCAGTCTCAACACAAGAATCAAAATAATCCTTTACACAAAAATATTGGGGTTCCTGGCTTAGAATCATTGAAAGACTTGTCACTTTTCTCAAAATAGAGTCCAAACTCTGTAACATGGACTCCAAGTCCCTTCAAAGTTGGTGTCTCCTCCCTATTCCAGTCTCATATGTACCACTAGCAACACTACTCATTTTGTCACACTTTGCCTTCAGATAATCTTATAAGCTTTTCCTTCTGCCTGGAACATTCTACTCTACTACCTCTACATCTGCAAAGTACCTACCACTCAGATGTCAACTTGTAAATTTCAGTGCCTGGCTCCTAAATAACATTCAAAAACCATCCACTGATCAACTATCTGAGTGCTTCTCTGACCCACCAGTATGCCTTTCCTATGTGCTCCTGTGACCCTGGCAAGGCCAGTCATGTGAGAAAGTGATCTCTGCCTTAGACATAGACCGTGTTGTCATTGCTTCTTCTTTTCTTACCTTTCCTGGAGTGTCAATGCCTGGAAGTAGCAGTCATGTTTGCCTTACTTAGTGCAACATTCCAGCACTTGTCAGGGTGTTAGGCACATGATAAGTACCTAAAAAATATTTGCCTGATAAACAAATGATTAATAAGCAAGTAGACTCTCTGAAAGCAGAAACATATGGGTCTGTCCTACTATGTCTAGCATGGTAATGGACTAAAAATAGAGAATTAATAGGCATTGTACTCAATCAAACACTCCATGACATATGCTAAAAACTGCCACGTGCCATTATCATTGGTTTTCATAACTGACATTGTGATGGGCAAAGGGAACTCTATAAAATTGGTAAGACTTTGTAAATACTATTTAATTTAAACTCCAGAGAATTTGTCAAATGCCTGAAACCTAACACAAGAAAAAAATCCCCGAAATACTCAGGAAAGTAACACAGTTTAGAGGAGAAACAAGCAAACAAAAAAAAAGCAGAGCATTTGTGTGGTATAATTATCCTGGAATGTGCATCCTTCAGCTTCAACTTCTCATTCAGGGATGACCACCCTGGTTCAGGCGGTTTGGCAATGTTGCTTGGGCCTTGGTGGACACTGGAACTTCCTCAGCAGTAAATGTGTTGAA